GCGGGCCTCTCACTGTTGTGGCCTCTCCCGTTGCGGAGCACAGGCTCTGGACGCGCAGGCTCAGCAGCCATGGCTTACGGGCCCAGCCGCTCCACGGCATGTGGGATCCTCCCGGACCGGGGCACGAACCTGTGTCCCCTGCATTGGCAGGCGGACTCTCAACCACTGCGCCACCAGGGAAGCCCTAGGCTTGAATTTTTGACTCCTCACTTAGTTGTGTAACTTTGGGCAATTTATTTAATCTCTTTAAAACTCAGTTTATTCACCCATATTATAATATTTCTTATAGTGTTGGGGGCATTAAATGAGAAATACATTAAAATGCTTAGTATTTTATTTAGTACCTAGCCCTGAATAAATAGTAGTTGTTCCTATCATCATTGTTCTAACTGTTGTAAAAGATTCAATAACCTGCCTGTGGTAATTCAGCTAGTACATGGCCAGGCTGAGATTCAGACTTAGGTCTGTGATTCTAAAGCCCATGCTCTTTTTCCTGCACCATGTCACTTTCCTTATCTTCCTTAGTAAATATTCACAGAGAAAAAAAGAAAAATAATAATTCACAGACTTTTCATACATTTATTTCTATCCTATCTAAATAATCCACAAATATTTAAATGGCTAGGTTTGGTGGAGAATAGAAAAAAAAAAAGAGTCTCAGCACTTGATCTCATATATTGCTAAACAGACTCAGGAGCAGATTGTATTTAATGTAGTACTTAAATATTCAGGCTTTAGAATAAAGAAAAAACTTATATTTGAGTCCCAGCTTCTCAACCTCTAAGATTCACAATTCCTGGTCTGTTAAATGGGAATAATAACATTAACTCCCTAATAGGAATATTGGGAGGATAAGATAAAATAAAGTAATATATTTAGAACGGGGCCTAAAACATGGTAAATGCTCCCAAATGGTAGCTGTTGTTATTACCAAAGGCAGACACTGTTTTCTACATTTTTCATTCCTCCCATTAGTTCAGTCAGTCAACGATTTGAGCCTCTTTGTGCACTAAAGAAAATACATGGCAATCAACCTGTTTGATGCTAAACAGTACACTAAATAAAAAAGCTACTAAATTTGATTCCTTATAGCCAGAAGCTTATTATTTAAGGTAAGCAAATCTGCTACAGAGCTTGCTTCATCACTTAGAGTCTCAGAAACTACAGAAATACTTGGAACCATCATTCTCTCTGAGAATGTCTAAAGGTTTAAGTATCTTGGCATGTATAACAAAAGAAGTCTCTATTTCTGCTTTGGAAGATAATTTTCTCTCTCCCACAAGCAAGAAAAAAAACACAGAAAATTAAAAAAGACATTTCCTTTTCACTGGTTTATAAAGACCTGTTGTTCAAACTCATTATATAAAGAGATAAAGACATACATATTCACCCTCTACCAATAATCAGGAAAATCTGTATCAACAAAATTCAGATCATAATTACCTTCTTCTTTTGTTCTTCCCCATCCACTTATAAAACACTTCGTGTTTCGGTTCAGTCTTTGGAAAACACCAAAAGGTAGACAGATAGGCTGAATGTAATCATTATATCTCACTGCTTTTTTTAAATGAAAAAGTGCAATATCATTTTCATAAGATTCCACGTCGAAGTCTGGATGGATAATGATCGCTTTAACTTTCATCATCTTGGAGTGTGGCTGACGCCCATCTATATTATTAGTTCCAATCACGACTCTCCACATTATAGGATCTCTGAAAGAAAGTAAATGTTCTTATCTTAAACAGGTATTTAGCTAAGTAAATATTCTTAATCTCCCACTAGTTTTTGTTTTTCTCATGTTAGATTAATAACAAAAAAATTAATCCTGCTTTCATGTGACAAAGTCATAGCAAGTAAAAACCTAAATATTGTGATGTAGGAAAAGAGAAAAAGATCAATGGAAGAGAAAGTCCCAAACGGGTTCAAGTACATGAGAATTTAATATATGGTAGCAATTCTTACCAATGGACAAATGGATGAATTATTCAATAAATGGTATTGGGACAACTAGCTAACTAACAAACTAGTTTGAAAAGTGAAATAAAATTAAATCCCTGAAAAATTATTAAACACTAAAATAAACTCCAGATGGATTAAATATTTAAATGCACAAATCTTTTAAATAAAGACTTCCTATCTTTTAGAGATACGTAAAGTGGTATGTCTGAGATTTCTTTCAAAATAATTGAAGGGGGAGTTGGCAAGAATAAAGATGAAGCAAGATCAGCCATGAGTTGATAAACTGTACGTATTATGCATATGGGAATTCATTAAACTATTTACTTTGACAAATTTTTGAAAGTTTAGAATGAAACATTTGGATATTAAATTAGGATGAGAAGTTTAAAAATTAAACCAGAAAGAAAGTATAGATGAATACATAACATTGTTATGAGAAAGAACTTTATGCATTCCAGTGGTATTAGGGTGAGAAGTTTAAAAATTAAACCAGAAAGAAAGTATAGATGAATACATAACATTGTTATGAGAAAGAACTTTATGCATTCCAGTGGTATTAGGGTGAGAAGTTTAAAAATTAAACCAGAAAGAAAGTATAGATGAATACATAACATTGTTATGAGAAAGAACTTTATGCATTCCAGTGGTATCTCTGTGAAAACACAATTTTGCCTTTTTTTTTTTTTTGCGGTACGCGGACCTCTCACTGTTGTGGCCTCTCCCGTTGAGGAGCATAGGCTCTGGACGCGCAGGCTCAGCGGCCATGGCTCACGGGCCTAGCCGCTCCGCGGCATGTGGGATCTTCCCAGACCAGGGTACGAACCCGTGTCCCCTGCATCGGCAGGCGGACTCTCAACCACTGCGCCACCAGGGAAGCCCAATTTTGCCTTTTTGTAATTCTATTTGAGCAAGTTGGAACATTCCACTGGACTATATCTCTATGAGAAAGGACTTTATAAAGCGTGACACTAAATATAAAAGAAGCAACTAATGGATCTTGACGTCTTTAAAAGCAAAAAGCAAGCAGAAATCAAACCAAACCAAAAAATCTTCTGTAGGTCAAAAATCAACAATTAAAACCCCAAGTGGTTAATATTTATTGCATATGAAATTTACAAATGCCGAAATTCCTTTCACCCTTCAAACTGGCAGAGTGTGTGTGTGTGTGTGTGTGTGTGTGTGTATTTAATGATTATGTTCAGTGCAGACAAGAGTCAGAGGAACAAAGTTACTCTTATTCACTGAGGAAAATATAAATAGATAGGCACTCTGGCAGCATGTACCAATAGCCTATAAAAGCTGCATTGATTTTGACACTGCAATTCTACTTCCTAGAATTTATTCCAAGGAAATAGAAGATAATTAGCTATCTTAAAATTGGACTAGGTAACCTCTAAAAAGTTTGTAAAAATGTTTATACAGTCCTAGTTCTGTTGTGTTTAAAAAGAAACTGTAGCTTAAATGCTTTAAGCTACTTTTAAATAATGATGTTTGGGCTTCCCTGGTGGCGCAGTGGTTGGGAGTCCGCCTGCCGATGCACAGGATGCGGGTTTGTGCCCCAGTTCGGGAATATCCCACGTGCCGCGGAGCGGCTGGACCTGTGAGCCATGGCCGCTGGGCCTGCGCATCCGGAGCCTGTGCTCCGCAACGAGGGAGGCCACGGCAGTGAGAGGCCCGT